CACAGTCATCGCCGACGTGCCACCTGGCGTCCTCCCTCTGCATCTCAAGCCTGGACTCAGATTGATCACATCGCTATCAGCTACCGCTGGCGTGGTTGTGTAAAAGACTGCCGCTCCTTTTGGAGTACCTACCTGGACTCTGACCATGCCTTGGTCTGCGCCAATCTTGCCTTACTTTTCAGTGGACAACGAAGTGACCACCACCAAAAGATTGATGTTAGCAAGCTGGTTGCAACTTCTGTTGCAAGTAAGTATCGAACCGAGCTAGCCTCTAGGCTAGCTACTACTCCACCGAAAAGTATAGATGAGCATTGGTTGCAATTGCATGACGCCATGAAAATGGCGGGAACAGTCAGTTGTGGGTTTGCGAAACGTCCCGCTTTTAAGCACTGGGTTTCTTCTGGTTCCTTACAACTCATTGAAGCCCGTCGGTCTACTCCGGGTGACCGTGAGTTTGACCATAAACGAAGGATGTTACGTGAGGAAATTGGGCAAAGCTTGCGTAAGGACCGAGAAGCCTGGTGGTCGAAGCGTGCTAATGAGCTGGAAGCAGCAGCTGCATCTGGTAACTACCGGAAGCTCTTCCAGCTCATCCGAGCCACTGGCTGCAAGAAGTCTGGTGTGAGTGAAACAATCTGCGAGGATGATGTGATGCCAATCACTAACATCCATCGACGTCTTGGACGATGGGCAGAATTTTTCGAAGGGCAGTTCAACTGGCCTGCTGCTTCGGCAACATCGGTCAGACTGTCCTGCCCTCCATGGCCGGTGACGACTGATCCACCAAACGAGGAGGAAGTCCGCAAGGAACTCCAACTCTTGAGGCGTTACAAATCACCTGGCCCAGATGACTTACCTCCGGCTCTTTTTAAAGATGGTGGTGACTTTTTGACTAAGGAATTGACGACGTTGTTTACAAAGGTTTGGGAACTAGAGAGTGTACCAACGTCATGGAATGAGTCGATAGTTGTCCCTATCTTTAAAAAGGGTTCACGTCGTTCCTGTGACAACTATCGGGGGATAAGTCTACTTCCGATTGCGTCCAAGCTATTAGCTTCCGTCATTCTTCGTAGGTTGTTCAAAACCCGAGAAAGATTGACTCTTGAGGAGCAGGCTGGGTTTCGTTCTGGTCGAGGATGTATTGATCATATCTTCACCCTCCGCCAAATGTTAGAACACCGCCATACTTATCAAAGGCCAACGATCGTAGTGTTTCTTGACATCAGGGCTGCCTTCGATTCGTTGGACAGGACTGTTCTCTGGGATTGTCTATTGAAGAAGGGTGTCCTTGAGAAGTTTATTAACATCCTGAAAGCCCTATATAAAAACACCTCAGGCAGAGTGAGGGCATACAACCACCTCTCTCCATTGTTCCATTCGAGTAGTGGGGTTAGGCAGGGTTGCCCAATCTCACCATTCCTCTTCAACTTTGCCATCGATGACATTCTGGAAACAGCTCTGGTGGATGTAGGTATTGGCGGTGTGGATCTGTTGCCTGGAGAAATACTTCTCGACCTTGAGTATGCGGACGATATTGTGTTACTGTGCGATAATGCCCAAGGCATGCAATCCGCACTTGATCAGTTGGCAATCGATGTCCTTAAATACGGTATGTGCTTTGCACCTTCGAAGTGCAAAGTACTTCTACAAGACTGGCAGGATTCCAATCCTGTACTCACCCTGGATGGTGAGCAGATAGAAGTAGTCGAGAAGTTCGTGTATCTGGGTAGCTGCATAAGTGCTGGTGGAGGTGTGAGTGATGAGATCAATGCACGTATAGTGAAAGCCAGAGCGGCTTATGCCAATCTGGGTCATCTTTGGTGCCTTCGTGATGTTAGTCTGGCTGTAAAAGGTCGGATCTACAACGCGTCGGTGAGAGCAGTTTTGCTCTATTCTTGTGAAACCTGGCCTCTCCGAGTTGAGGACGTTAGACGACTCTCTGTGTTCGATCATCGCTGTCTCCGAAGGATTGCTGACATTCAGTGGCAACACCATATTAATGATGCAGAGGTTCGGCATCGTGTGTTCGGGCACAGAGATGATAATTCAATTGGTGTCACCATTTTGAAACACCGACTTCGGTGGTTTGGACATGTTCTACGAATGTCGTCCCAGAGGATTTCACGTCGTGCATTATTTGCCGACTCTGGGACTGGTTGGAAGAAGCGGAGAGGTGGTCAGTGCATGACATGGTGTCGTGGTATGAAAGAAAGCTGCGAAGGGCTGGCTTCTGTTGGTCTTTCACGACTCCCTGGTTGGGGTCTGAGAGATGGTGCTACACAGTGGCTAGAGAGGTTATCAGATATGGCTCAGAATAGAAGCCAGTGGCGATCCTGCTGTAACCTTCTTTTACTTTCTTCATAAAAAGTGGTTGTGTCTCCTTTACCTGAAAGATTTCTTCTGATTGTACCTTTTCGTTCCCTCATTACTACCACACTACCTTACATAAATCTCTTCGTTATTGTTCTCTTTTTCTTTTTGCGCTCCTTAGTTTTTTTTTCTACTTCTCTTCGAGTTCTCATTGTTTTGTGTGGCGCATATATATTGGCGCTCTCTTGTATCAATATTCATGTGTCCAAATAAATAAATAAATAGAGTTAACCTAGTCAATAACCTGCATTCTTAACCATGTCTCTAATTTGAAATGTTGTACAGCTTTTCGGTTTTTTTAAACCTTTCCTTTTGTATTTGTTACTGTTTTTTGCGTAAGTAACTTATTGGAATACCCTGTGCTTAGAATTCTATATTGTAACAAAATATAATATTGAATAAAGCCATTAATAATAATAATAATAATAATAATAATAATAATAATAATAATAATAATAATAATAATAATAAAGATGGATACATCCAGCTCACGAGTCCCAAATAGAACGAAACGCGCGTCCTGGATTCCATTGCTGGCCACAATACATCTTTGCTTTTAAGCTTGTGAATTAAGGCTATATCGAGGCAATACACACAGTATGCACATATGCCAACAAGAGACTAATCAATTGCAGTCCTAAACATCAATGGGAAGATTCAAGTAAACAATACCGAGTGAAGTCACATGATTTGTTTAGAAAAGAATATGTATTCAGTAATAAAGATAGTAGGTTGGTGATCCTGTGTTAATCTTGACAGATTGCCTTCCAATCAAAAATAGTCACTTATTCCGATAAGGCGTTCCAGTCATTGAGTACTCGATGAGAAGAACGGTACCTCAATTTAAGTTTATTAGGTTGCTGTTTGTGAACTTTATTGCTATGATCTCGGAGGTTATTAGTGCTGGAGGGAGCAAAAAGATAAGACATATTAACACCTAAATCGTAATTAAAGATATGAAATGCCAGTATAAGGTCACCTCGCGTCCTACTATGCGACAAAGGGGAAAGGTTTAGGCGTTTTAAGCGCTCATCGTAAGGGAGTTTAAAAAGACTTCATTAATTCTGTTCCCACACACTGAACACGCTCAAGTGAGTTAGTATCCTTTATCAGACACGGGCTAGCTGGTTGGATACAGTACTCTAAGTGTGGTCTTACATAGGTGGGATATAAAATTCTAAACATCTCCTTGTCAAAGCATTTGAATGTTCGATGAATTGACTATAACGCACGATGTCCTTTGGTAGCAGTTGCGTTGCAATGCGTAGTTGTTTTCAAGTCATGACTTATTATTGCTCCTAAGATTTTATGTTCTTGAACGCGTGGAAGAGATGTACCATCAATAATATAATGGTAACTATTACTGTGTCCGATTTGCATGAGCACTCTTACTAGAATTAACTACTAAGCCTCAACCTCGAGCCCATCTAACTAATTCGTATAAGTCAGCTTGGAGATATAAAATGATCAGTTTCACTTCTTATTGTTCTTCAGACTTTGACATCATCCGCAAACAATAATGTCGACGACTTAAGCAATAGCGGTAGTTCATTAACGTATTACCTAGGTGACTGACTATAAATAAAAGTAGTGAGATTTCCAAATTTTCATGCCGAATTAGCAGTATGATTATGTGCTACCTCAGAGAAAGCAATGTCAAAGTTCTGAAATTACAGATTTCATCATGAACTAACTTTGGTATGACAAACGTTGGGAACCAGGAATAACTGTCCTAAGTATAGGACACTTAATCAACAAGCGACAGATTATCAGCTCAACAACTTGTGCTAAAATAATGATGGCTCATAAATATCACAAAATTTTTTATTTCATGGCAAAATGAAAGAACACCGCTTTACTTCCATCTACATATCCGGTATTATTTCTGGTTAACATTTTATCCCTTACACAAAGTCATCACTGATCTTGAAGTCTACTTATCCTGTCGCTTGGCAACAACGACTTAAAAGGATAAACTTTGGAACTTAGAGTTAGTAATTCAAATGAAAAAGTGTAACTACGTGACCCAAAGGTTCTGCTCTCATTCTCATATAACATAATCCATCCCTTACTGTTGACGACTCTCTAACTACTTAAATGAAATAGCCCTATCGTGTTTGACAGTTTCTGAATTAAATTAGCATTCAACAACACGAGGTACATGATTTGCTGTCGACGAATATCAGTACTCATCAGAACAAACAAATATCATGAAGAGTAAACAAGTGAATACTTAAATTTTATGGATAGTTTGAATTTATATCTGAAGCTGCTTAAACTGGTTGTAACTTAACAGTGATATTGAGAGAATTCGCATAGGATTTACTTACTCGAAAAGTAACTAACCAACTGGAGTCTATAACATCAATGGAAGGATTCAAACAACCATTATAAATGAATTTGAAATTAGTTTGGGTCACATTATAACATTAATCTGAGATAATGTTGTAAACCATGAAGTATTCAAGAACTCTTTTATTCTAAGCTGCAACTTCTCAGAAGTACATATACTTTAAAAAACGGAATGAAGAAACAACAGATTTCCTAGAAAACATTAAACCGCAGGTCATTGAACCACAGGAATCTAACAATGAACATTACTAAATTCAGTTGATCTCATGGTTATTAAGGTTCCTCTATGTGAGGCATCATAATACGATAAAGACAGATGATGATGATGATGATGATGATGATGATGATGATGATGATGATGATGATGATGATGATGATGATGATGATGATGATGATGATGATGATGATGATGATGATGATGATGATGATGATGATGATGATGATGATGATGATGATGATGATGATGATGATGATGATGATGATGATGATGATGATGATGATGATGATGATGATGATGATGATGATGATGATGATGATGATGATGATGATGATGATGATGATGATGATGATGATGATGATGATGATGATGATCGTAATAATCAAAATAATTATAAATCATTTGGACAATTAACTTTTTTTTTCTGACTTAATTTATGTCAGTGTTTACATACAGAGAAAGAGATTATCGTTGTGAAATATAGTTATTATCTATCACTAAAATACTTCATTCATATTCCTATAAGTTACTATAAATTATTTGTTACCATAGTAATTCAGAGTAAATATTGTCGATCATTACTATAATTACAAGTACCTTTTTATAATTCAAATCATTGGACATTTAAAGTGTGAAAATCAATTATTCTATACATTAATAATAGGAATAATCAATGTCATTAATGACTGATTTTAATCTCCCATATATATACAGAGAAAGCAAGAGAGACAGAGCATTTTATTTTACTCTAGTTGACTGAACACAATGAATTCAACCTTGAAAATACTACAATTTATACAAATTCTTGAAATGGATAATAATCATGTGCTCACTAGTAACTAGTTTCAGAATGAATTTCTTAAAGTCTTAGTGAGATTAACCGTGATCAGGGAAGTCCAATCCGTGTGGGGCTAAGATAGGTATCTACCTCAGACAATAGATGAATGGTTGAGCAAGATCATGGATTGATAGAAGTAAGATATTAACACCACTGGATGGCGATCAGCCTAGTGATCTAGAAATTAATTGTTCGCGTGTGAGATCGAAGGTCTTGAGTTAGAGTTCCCTCAATTCAGCATCGTAGATGTACACTACTGAGGAGTCCCATAGTCCGTCTAGCACTTCCAGATTTTCAATGGTGGTCTAACATTGTTCCATTAATTATATCAATCTAAACTCAATATTCAACCTTATATTGATAAATAAATTATTCTAATCATCCTATTTGTCCTATCACCCATATGTTTGACCTAGTTAGTTACTCATGTGTAACCTTGATCAGGCTTGGTACATGTGTGTGTATGTGTCTGTATATTTAATTGTGTGTTTTTCATAACTTTTAAAACTGAGTGATCTGTAACTCACTGCGTTGATACGTTCATCTTCTCTTATCGTCCCTCATCATCTGTCTGCCTAAAAGACTGTCGGTACATGTTTTACACCTATTGTGATTGAGCTTCATTAGTCATAGATTGGCACAAACCTTGAAGTCTTGGAATCGACCTTGTTAGGACTATGAAGGCTCATTGTTAAGGAGTTCCTATCTAAGTCAAAACGATTATCTAGTGCTTTCTGGTTTTTATTTGTTGTCTAACTAGGATCACTAGTGGTCTAAGCTATGAAATTCAACAATCTTCATAGACCATCTGTAGGCTTACAATTATTTGAGAGTAATCTATAAACAGTTAATAAAACAAACTTATGCATGAAATTAGAACAGTACAAAGTACCAAAAATCAATTATTTTATAGATAAACAAATAGGTACATGTAGATAGATACAAATTATCTGGTAGTTGTCCGCTCTATTATTGTAACTAATTATTGGAAACTTTGGGTGATAAAGGTCGGCATTGATCACAATATAAATCTTGAGCTTCACTATTTCTTCATACATACCTTTACATCCTGTCTTTTCAATGTTAAGTTTTCTCTTTATCATTCATTCAAAATCATTTTGAATAATTTTCTATTCTTGTAGTTAATTTCATCTCATCGTTTGTATGTAGTACTTCAAATTGGGCTGAGATAATTACGTATAAGGTTGTACGTTAATTATGATCTTAATTGGTATCATTTGAGAAATAGAAGCAAACTTTTATAATTGTGTCACATTATCTATGGTTTTAAAATTACGAACTGATCTTAGCTAAACCAACATTGTAAACTTGGAACCGCTGGTAGACCATTCTATCTCAGTAAAGGATACCTTACAGATGTGTATTTGGTACTCAAAAACGGGAATCGAACCAAAAACCTTCATTTCTACTCGCTGACACCTAGTCTCTAGACTATTGACTAGTTTTAGAATCTAATTTTAATCAATTAAATCATATTGCACGGTAATATAACTGTTTCATTCTCATTGACCAAACAAAATTCAATCACACTCGTCTTTATGAATTTGTAACATGAATTTCACTTGATCTTATTAAGACATTCTTTAATCACTTGTTATTCTTCCAGAATCACAAAGGTTTATAACATTCATGTGATTCATAGGCAAATATAGTCAGTGGCTAGCAGTGGAATAGAGGACGTGCGTCTCATCCTGTTTGGGATTTGTTAGTTGGATGTACCTGCATCTCTGAGTTGATGTTCATGCCGAGACTCGAACCCAATACCGTTCGCTACAAAGACCATCGCGTTCTCCACTTAGCTACTTGCTTGTGCAATGAGGTGAAGTTAAAATTCGCTTGATAGTGTTTACTTGAAACTTATGATGCTTGTGAATTAAGGCAGTATTGAAGCAATACGCACGGTATGCACATATGCCAATAAGAGAAATTGATCGATTACAGCCCTAAACATCAATGAGAAGATCCAAGTAAACAATACCAAATGAATTCATGTGATTTGATTAAATTTAGTGATGAAAATCTATTTTTTATAAATAGAGTTTAATGACTTATAAGTAGGCATTTGAAATTTAGAAAAAATAATATCATCAGTATGGTGTTATGGAGATAGTTAAGTTTTTGATTGAAATCATGGATCGATGAATGTTGGACTACGATTGAAAACCTGGAAGCCATGGACGACTGTCTCGTTCTAGTTTGGGGATTCTCAGCAGTGCGCATCCAACATTCATCGATTCATGTTCTCAATCAAAATATAATATCAGTTTGATTTCAATCTAGGACTGCAATTGATCAATCTTTCGTTGGCATATGTGCATCCTGTACGAATTACCTCGATATTGCTTGAAGTCATAAGCTTTATAAGCAAAGATGGATAGTTGCTAGCAGTGGAATCCAGAGAAGGACAATAAGAAGTTCTATCATTGTAAAACTCCTTGATATATTTTACGGACTTGATGTAATGGTAACCTTTTAAGTTATCTATTGAATCCAATCCAAACGATATCTCTTTTAAAATACAATGGAAGCCATATATATTTAACTACATAAACCTAATCTGAGGTGAAGTTGATCTATCTACCTAAACAAATAATCTACCCAAAATCACATTCAAATCACAACTGATGACTTTTTAAAAATATTTTCCAGTAATCAAATGTCATTAACTAAGTTAGCCATTGGGATTCGAATAGAACTAACGATAAATATCACGTTTGTTATCATTCGGCTATCACTTGGTTTGACTCTACAGGACTTCAGTCGCCGTCCTTTTTTCTTCATTAATGATATCTTTGACTATTATACTAGATAAAATATGAATCCTAGTCTCATAAAAATCATAAATTCTGTCAAGATTAGAGATGTTACCTTTGACGAGTATCGATTTAGCTGAAGTATCGTTTCCACAAAGATTTCAGTTGCGTTTTTACCTACCTGCGGGATCGTAGATGCGCACTACAGAGGTGTCACATATTAGGACGAAACGTTCATTCAGCGCTTCCAGGTTTCCACTGATGGTCTAACATTGATCGAGTCATGATCTCAATCAGAACAGTTAACTGTTTATCCATCACACTGAAAAAATCTGTAAAAATTAATTAATAGTCACACGACTTTTCTAAAAATAAAGCGCTCTTTTGATGTATGGTAGTGAAAATAAAGTGTGATTGGTCGTTAAGAGTGGACAAACAGCCACAGCCTACGAACTATTTAATACGTGATTTTCTTTCTTATTATTGATTTCTAGTCTGGACTCATAGTGTGTGTAACTGCTTGTAATTTTATTGAATAAAGTATTCTCTAATGTTAATCTGCTTCTATATTTTGGGTCGTGAATCCTGGTTCTGGTATGGTATATGCTAGTGATGTCGATAGATATAAGTAGTATGTATCATCAATCAAAAGTGAAATGCTTAGAGGCAGAAGGTTAAGAAGATTAAAGCAAAGAGAACGAGAACAATCAATGATTGCTGAAAAAACAAAGGACCAGTCAATTCTGAGTTGGTTGATTGAAACTTTACTGAAGGAACAGTGAAGTTTGAGGTAATTGATTGACATTTCGCCAATAAACTATTCACTACATAGTCCTCAAATTTTAGTAAAACTTTCTGTAATTCAGTGTGCAATTACGTTTGATTGTCCCCATTTGTGTATTCTCGTTCACTACATTGGCATAATGTGATCAGTCTTATTAATTTATGATCGTAATATACGGTTAACAGAGGAATATAATGTAAACGATCTGTTATATCATCATGAGTCATAATCATCTCGACATAATACAATTAAGAGTTACACATAGAAGTCTCATAATTCAAATGCAGTAGGAATACAAGAAACAAAAAGGATATTTGAAATATTCTTCGATTCTATTTGATCACTATGAGGGCTCCTATACTTAACCAATCCAACTACGCAAAGAAAACTGAATATGAACTTTTACTCTCTAAAGCCGGATAATTATACTCACAACTCATCCGTATATATACATACATGGGTTATTTAACTGATCATCACAGGCAAGTCTGAGTAGTAACCAAGTGTGAATAATTAACTCATTTATAAATGTCTGTTGCAAATATCTCTTATTTTTGGTGTAGCTACGTGATAACGCATAATTTATACGTATTACTCTAGAATATTTGTACTCTATGAAGTACTAGAAATATCGTATTTCAACTATACCGCTTCCAACTTGGAAATTAATCGAATGTACTAGAGTGCAATTTAATTTACCATAAGTTTGAGTTCAATGTTACGATTAAGTTTCTGATTTCCTGTCCTTTCAAGTTTACTTTGCATAGTTTCATGTAAAAGTGTTCACAAAAAGTCACCTGTGGTTCATTTAGATTCTTTTGTATGATGGATAGTAACAGAATCTATAATTTAAATCTGCAGCAATTTGGAAGACTCTCCCGGTCTCCCACATTGTACGAGTATTCCATGTACCTAAATCATTAGTTGCTCTGGTTGTCAGAAGGAGCATCGGCCTCGTGACTTCCGAAGGAACTCGTGTGTATATTTACAAGTCATCTTTTGAATATAATTTTTTTCATGTAGAAATGAGGT